CACTGTGCATGCCGGGCCCATGCAGAACAGGGATGCCTTCAACAGGGGAAGTCTGTGTTAAATCTCATCTGTCATCAGATAAACCAAGTAGCCAATAGGGCTTTAGATAACAAAGAAAGGATGGAAAATATGTAAACACGCCATTACGCCATAGACTCTCCACTTCTCCTTGTTTGGTTTAGGCATCAGGTTTCGCTCCGGGCCATGTGGTCAAAACATGTCACTGCAAGTCAGTGGCCTCAATGAGCACCTCTAATTTAAAGCTGTTTTATTAAAGCTTAAAACAAATGTTTGAATCTGGTGAGATATTATTTGATAGTTTCTAAGGAACTGGAATGAAATAAGAATTGAAGAAACGTGTATCTTTTTTTTTTTTTTTTTATGATTTCTTAAGCAAATATTTTTTCTATGTCATGCTTGGACCGGGATGGGTGAAATGGGAATTTCCACCACAACTTGTACAACCTTTCCACTAGTTGTTGCTGACCTAGCAACAACCTAGCCTAGCCTCAGAGGAGAGCAGCTGTTATGAGTATAATTCTTCAAATACACCTAGTTGAGTTGGAAAACAACTATTATTTAAAAAAAAAAAAAAAGAATAATGTACGTAAAGGGTATTTTAAAGGAGCTGGCAGTAAAGCATAAAGAAGATAAAGTGGTGGCTAGCGTGTTAGCAGGTTTACCCTAGCCTAGCCTAGCACAGCCCAGCCTTAGAGGAGAGTAGATGTTATGAAGATAAGCGTGTTAGCAGGTTTAGCCTAGCCTAGCCTAGCCTCATAGGAAACCAGCTGCTTTAAGAAATAACTGCTAAAATACAAGTAGGATTTAAAAAAAAAAAAAAAAAAAGAATATTCAAATTGACGTTTTATATTTTAAAAATAACAATGCAACTTGCACACCTTTTTTTTCTGAATTTATCTTGTTTTAAAAGATCAGCTTGAAGGTAGTTCTTCTACGTGCTGCACGGGTGTGTGTGTGTGTGTGTTCTTTCAGGGGTGTGTCGAAGCAGGAGGCAGAAGCAGAATGTGTGAATGAGGAAATGTGGAATGTGTTTTTGCACTTTCAGCTAAAAAAAAAAAAAAAAAAAAAAAAAACCCCCGTGCAAAACAGAGAGCCTCACAAGGTCAACAAAAACCTCGGGCCTAACCTCGGTCGCCCTGCTCTAAGGTGTTTGGTCGAAAGACGTGGTGTGAAAATAAAACCGTGGTCTGTTTCAACGGACGAAAACTGCTTGACTAGTGCATTCTCTGGTAATGGACAATTAGCAGCGGATGCAGGTTGCACTTCCTGTCCTGGAGTTAGACTGGTAAAATCTGAAGCTGGACTAAAAAAAGGAGGCTGGTTTTACTGCCTTTTACAGGCACTTTTTTTTTCCCCCCCAACATTCCACGGCTGCAACAGTGAGAGAAACAACTCCAAAGAAGTGGAGACGGGGGAAAAAAAAGCGCCTCCTACAAAAATGAAGCAGTCTGCAATCTAATCAGCCACCTTTCTGACACAACTGGTTGGGTGAGAGAAAAAAACGTGAAGCAGTGCAGCGAGGCGGGAAGTCGAGGGGGGGAGGGGCGATGGGGGTGGAAAAGGCTTTTTTTTTTTTTTTTTTTTTTTTTTAAAGCCTTTTGACTCATATTAACCTAATAGCATTGTCTACATGCCTAATGACCGGAGGGGCAGACGTGTCCTCATAGCCATGTCTTGCTGACTCTTGTTCTTTCTTTAGCGTTAGCGTTAGCGTTAGCTTTCCAACCAAACATTTACAAAAAAAAAAAAAAAAGGCCCACACTGCAAATTAAAAAAAATATTTACGACAGATCGTACCATATGTATTCATGTGGACAAACCCATGACACCACACCGCGTCCGTCTTTGTCCAATCGGTGCGATGGGGCAGGAGCTCTTCCTTCCCAAAACGTTCTGACTCAGCACTTAATAAATTAGCTTCTGTTTCCTGTTAGGCGGTTGAGAAAAGGAGCAGCTGGTTGAGAAGGAAGAAATGACAATGAACAAAGGACAACAGAACAATGAGAGACGCCGCAGGTGTGAGACGACAGGGTAGAGATGATTTTCTGC